TTTTTTTTTTTTTTTTTTTTTTTTTTGTGGTACGCGGGCATCTCACTGCTGTGGCCTTTCCTGTTGCGGAGCACAGGCTCTGGACACGCAGGCTCAGCGGCCATGGCTCACGGGCCCAGCCACTCCGCGGCATGTGGTATCTTCCCGGACCGGGGCACGAACCCGTGTCCCTGCATCGGCAGGCGGACTCTCAACCACTGCGCCACCAGGGAAGCCCAAGTTCTCATCTTTAATAGCCAGTAGTAGGCATTTAAAGCTAAAGATTAGTCACTTCTCTGTATATATGCTTAACCTTTTCTCAAAGCATAACATACACACAGAAAAGCACAACAATCCTAAAGGTAGAGCTCGGTGAATCATCACAAAATGAACACATCCCTAAAATCAGCACCAATGTCAAGAAACAGAAGGCTACCAGCATCCCAGGAGCCCCCCTGTACACCCTTCCAGTACTAATCCCCCCCCACCCCGTGCACCAGCAAGGGCTCCACAACCCTGACTTCTGAAATTGCTGGGCCACCAGGTATGCATATATTCAGCTTTAGATAATGCCAAATAGTTTTTCAAAGTGACTGTACCAATTTACACTCCCACCAGTGGGGGACAAGAGTTTTGTTGCTACACGTCCTCACCAACACTCAGGTATTTTTTTGTCTTTTTCATTTTAGCCACCCTGGTGGGTGTACAGTGGTATCACGCTGGTTTTAATTTCTATGGCTTGACCATTAATTAAGCTGTGTACTTCAATTACCCACTTAGATAACCTCTATTTCACACCCAGTGAAGCATCTGTTCACGTTCATTTTTCTATTAGGTTGTCCATCTTTTTTCTAAGTAATATGTAAGAGTTCATCAAATATTCTGGATATGGGTTCTTTATTAGATATGTATATGTTAAGTACTTCTCCCACTCCGTGGTTGCCTCCTTTTCATTTTAATGGTAACTTTTGATGAACAGACGTTCTTAATATAGTCCAATTTACCCATTTCCCCCCCACCCCGCCCTCTACAGTTAGTTGTTGGTGTCCTTGCCTATATTTTACATGAAGATGTTCTCCTGTATTTTCTTCTAAAAATTTTATTATTTTTTTTACCTTTCATATTTTTATCTGGAATTGAGCTTTGTGTATGGTGAAGTAAGAATCAAAATATATTTTTTCCCCAAGGAGACATCCAACTGTCCTAACAACATGCATTTAATAGACCAGCCTTTCTCCACTAGACACTTTTATCTTCTTTTTTTTTTTTATCACCTTTCTAATCAGGTGATTATATATGTGATTCTACTTCTGGATTCTCTATTCTGTTCCACTGGTCTATTTTTGTTGATCCTCACACTAACACCACACAGTCTTAATAATAAAAACCTTAATATCTCAGTAATTTAAGTCCACCAGTTGTTTTTCTTCTTCAAGAATATTTGGACTACTCTGGGTCCTTTGCAGCCTAAGTTTTTTAGTGGCAAGAAATGTGGGGTTGTGGAAATGAGATAAAAGCACATTTTCTAATTAACAAAAGCTTGAGCAACATTTTAAGAACTAAGACTTCTATTTTAATTGACTTAACTAGAAATCTACTGGAAAGAGTCTACCTTGACTGTGTTGCTACTATAGATCATTGAACTGTATAACAATTAGTTCCGTATTAGGAACTAATAAGGAACACAGGACTAGTTTTGGTTTCCCTTGTTTACTGGCCCCAGACTGATATATTTTACTTTTGTATTTGTCTTCCTCTCTTCTTATATTTAATTTGTTCTTTACTCTGAACACATTTAGCCAAATAAGAACCTGCAGGTGACCAAATTCTCACTTTTCTTGATGCAACATGTATGAATAGTTCCTTTCCTCCCTTCTTAGAAGATGCCTAGGGGTTTATTATTATTACTATCTCTTTTCACTGTTTTCTAGAAAGTTGAAGCTACTGAAAATCTGTCCTCTGGATCAACAGAATATTATGTCATTAGGTCAAACTTACTAGCTTAAAGACTCTGAACAGGGTCTTCTCTAGCCTTAGTTTCCTACTTTGTAAAATGAGATAATAATGCCAATTTGCAGTGCTGTTTTATGTTTTACAGATATGTGTAAAGTATCTCGCAAGATGTGTAGTTTATGGCGTGTTCTCAGACGACAGTAGCTATTTCTGCAGCCAAAAATGGTTATACCTTGGATTAAGAAATTCCTCACTGTCCCAGATCCCAAGTGTCTTATGTTACCATTGTATATATCTCTTTTTTAATTACAATGAAACAAACATGGTATGGTCCACCTTAGTCTCAATTATTCACATATCCCAATTTGCAATTTCCCAAACTCTTCTTATTTTACTCTTTTAGGCCACCTCTTTAAATCACTTGCTTTAGTCTGGCTCTGCTTTCTCAATCTTAAGGATTACTGCTCGTTTCTGAACAAGTTTGTTTCAGTTGCTTTTTTTCCCATCTTACCTTGTTGACTTGAACTGCTCCTCTGTTTCCTAATCCCTGATTAGTATTCGTTTTATGACTATACTTGATTCTGCTGATTATTTGTCCTTTAAAATTTGCCCTCTGGTTAGGGGGGAAAAAAGTGAGCCAGTCGGCTCCAATGAAAAAGATTATCAAGAATAAGATTTGTGCCCCGGTCCGGGAAAATCCCACATGCCGCAGAGTGGCTGGGCCCATGAGCCACGGCCGCTGAGCCTGCGTGTCTGGAGCCTGTGCTCCGCAACGGGAGAGGCCACAACGTGCAAAAACCGGCTTGACCCTCTCAAGGCTCGGGCGGGGGGGGGGGGGGGGGGGGAATAAAATTAAAAAATAATCTATAATAAGATTATATCTCAACAAAACTGAAAAAGAAAACCCACACCTCAAAACATACAGGGATGGGGAGCAATGTAAAAGTGTACATAAAAAGGTAAGAAATATAGCAGATAAAGATGAAGAATGAGTTCTGAAAAGACAGAGAAAATAAAGAGAAATGCTTTTTAAAAAAATGATCAAGAAATTTCCAGAATTAAAGATTCCTTTCACTTCAATCTGAAAGGGTTCATAGAGTACAAAATAGATTATATAACAATAAATAACACTTAGACACATTATTGTGAAATTTTAAAATCTCAAGGTCAAAGAGAATAATATGAAACTTTCTAGTGAGGAAGAGCAGCCCATCCACATAAGAAAAACAATCAGATAGAGTATCAATGGCAACACTGGGTGCAAGGAAACAACAGAGCAATTATTTACTCCAACTTAGAATGTTTTCACTTCCTCAAGCTGCTAAAGGCTAGCTTCCAAAAATCTACATCACAATGGAGAAAATTTAGATGCATTCCCTTTAGAATCAAGAAGGCAAGCATGCTTGTATTACTACAGCTATTTAACACAGTACTGCAGCAGGTAAAGACGCCACAATATAAAAAGGAAAAAAGTAATAAAAGGTGTAAGGACAGGGAGATACCTCTCCCCCCGCCCCCCCCAAAAAAGAAAAGAATAAGATCTGGGAAGTTGTTTTTTAAATTGTAAAAGCTGTAAGGCCCTACAGATTGTCTGTGTTCTAATTATAAAACCTATGATTTAGAAAGAAATCCTGATATTTCATTGCAACTTTGCATCACCTCTTGCCAATCAGTTCACATGAAAACTGATGTTGCCACTGGAAAATATCT